CAGCACCAAGTATTGCACCACATCTCTCAGTATCACTATCAACAGCAGTTCCCCCAACTGCCTCTAAACCAACCACAGCTTCCACCTCGGCACCCCGCTCCGAAGCCGGTTAAGCCCTCCCCTCAAGGCGGACTCCTTCCCCGAGGAGAAGCCTCCCAACTTCAGAACCCCTCCAAGAGCCATGCCTTATCCCCGGGCCGGAGGGAAAGAAAAATCACCCCCGCTTCGCAGCTCGTCGGCGGGTCGGGAACCTCGCCCGCCAAGTCAGCACCTCGGCACTCCAAGTTTGAGCTCCCACCCACGGAGAACCGATTCAGCGTCCTAGCGGCGGACCACCAACAGTCTGGGCCCATCGAGTGCGGCAACACCAAAGCCAGCAGCGCCAGTACTAGGCCCACTTAGCAAGGAAGACGTCGGCGGAGTCGCCAAACTACCGCCCGCGTCCTGACCGAACTCCGAGGTAAAGAAGAGACAATCTCGGACGAGGTAAAAGCTGCCCCTATTCTCTCAGTCCCTTCCCCCCTCTCATCAGAACTCCTTGTAGTCCCCATGCCCAGAGATTTCAAACTCCCCCCTTTAGACAAACAAGTATGATGGGTCCTTCGACCCCAACGACCACGTCGATGCCTTCCAGTCCCAAATGCACCTGGCAAGGGCCAGTGAATCATGCATGTGCGTGGCCTTCACTACCACCTTCAGGGGGGTGGCCCGCACCTGGTACAGGAACCTGGCCCCCGGGTCAATAAGAAACTAGACCTAGTTCGTGCGGGTCTTCACCGCGCATTTCGTTACCAGCAAACGGTGCCCCAAAACCGAGGAGAGCATCTTCGGAGTAGTCCAGAGAGAATGAGAGTCCATCCGGGGCTACATCAAGCGGTTCAATGATGTGTGCTTGCAGATACCGCGACTGGACCCCATGGTGCAGCTTGCGGCAACCAAGAGAGGAGTGACACACAAGGAGTTCAAGTGGCACATGGTAGTTAGCCAACCCGCGACTATAGCTGAATTCCTCAAACTCGCAGATAAATTCATGAGAACAGAGGAAGAGATCAACAAGAGAACCGAGAGCGGGATCGAGAAAAGGAAGAGGGAAGACGAGCCCTCCAACCCAGACGACAGAAGGAGGAAAGATCCAACTCGGGAGACGAAGCCGAGCCAGCCGTTCCGAGCTCTCTTAGCAACTCGGACGGACTACGCACCCTTAAACGCGAAGCGTGTTGAGATCTTGATGACAATCAAAGACGCCCCATACATAAAGTGGCCACCTCGCCTAAAAGGGAACCCCAACGAGAGGAATAAAAACTTATATTGCAATTTCCATAGAGACCACGGTCATAGTACCGAGCATTGTAATAATCTCCGGGACAAGATAAAGAGACTCATTCGTCGCGGGTACTTGAGAAATTTTGTACAGCATAGCAATAATAATAATAATAATAATAAGAGAGGTCAGCAAGGGGAGCACGGTAAGGATGCCCCCGAGTCCAGTGGCAGGCCGACCGAACCGCCGCAAAGACAGCCTTCGGAGGAGAGGCCAGTTCGAGGAACCATCCACGTGATAGTGGGAGGTTCGATAGTAGCGGGTTGCACTTCGGTAGCGGCCCGGGCGTCAGTTCGCGAAGCTGCCCGAGAAGGATAGAACCTTCAAAGAGGCCGAAGACGGAGGAACCAATTTTCTTCACGGAAGATGATGCGCGAGGGGTCCACTACCCCCAAGATGATGCGCTTGTCATCAAACTAAGGATCAGCGACTTCGAAGTCAGGCGCGTGCTTGTTGATTCAGGCAGCTCGACGGACATTCTCTTCAAATCGGTGTTTGACCAGCTTCAGTTGCAGAGAAGCGAGCTGAAGCCCGCAAACACTCCTCTGGTGGGCTTCAGCGGAGAGTAAGTCAGGCCCCTCGGGAAAATAACAGTACCAGTGGAAGTCGGCACATGGCCCTGTGCGGTCAGACTCTCACGATTTCCTGGTGGTTGCGACCCCCTCCCCATATAATGCCATAATAGGGCGGCCTATCACTCATGTCCTACGGGCAGTGGTCTCCACCTACTACTTGGCAATGAAGTTTCCTATAGACTTCGGTGTGGGGGTAGTGCGGAGCGACCAGCTCGAGTCCCGCAAGTGCTATTTTGCCGCCCTGAAGGGAAAAACCAAGGTGGCCGACAACCTCAAACTGGAGCGGCCTACGAAGCAGGGCAAAGAACGAGCTGCGCCCACAGAAGAAACGGACGCGATCCCAACTTCAGCTGCGAACCCAGCTCGGACGCTACAGATCAGTGCTTCCGTCCAAGAACCTCTACAATCCGAACTGGTAAGTTTCTTACTTCAAAATTTAGATATTTTTGCATGGTCCGTGGCCGATATGCCCGGTATTAACCCCAGCCTTATAACTCACAAACTTAATACTGACCCTGTAGTCATACCCATT